GGCCCATCCCCTCCCTCCCTCCCAGAAAAGGCTCGGAGGCAGCCTGCACAAACACAAGGACACACACAGACCACACGTGCACTGGGAGCCAAAATGCAAACGGAGCTAAGGAACCAAATAAGGAAGGAGAGGATTATATTAGGAATCCAGTAGCACAAAGATGCTGCCATAGAGAACTGCATTTGGCCTTGAGATTCTCAGCAGACAAGGCAAAAAAGGGTAGCAGTAGGTACCAAACTCTTTGGCAAAAAGAGGGAGCACTCGACCATGAAGCCAGTGTGAGGGCTGGGAGAAGGACACCAGCAGGCTGTTCCATAGGCTTCTGATTGTCACACAACATCAAATCACATCTTCATTCTAGAAGATGAATAATGGTCCCCAGCGCCCTGTACAAACATCCTCATTTTACTTCTAGCTACAGGATGTGCTAGCACTTAACGTTTTTCAAGATTTTGGAGTGAGAAAGGTAGAAAATTAACCCAGTGTTTTTTATTAAGCACCTCCTGTATGCCATTCATTTGGCTGTCATTTATTGAACACCTACTCTGTATCAAGGCCCATGCCAGGAGCTTTCACACGTATCATCTCAGTAACTCTCATATCTACCCTGTGAGGCATTGTTATTCTACCCATTTTACTGATGAGCAAACCAAAGCTGAGAGCCGGTACATTGCTTCCAAGCACCTGGGAAGTGGTGGAGTTTAAGACAATCCCAGACCCACCAGCCAAAGTCCGTGTTTATATCACTATAGCACTTCCATAGGCCTTGGAGATGGGGAAAATGGAAGAAATTCTTCCCATCCTAGACTCAGAGAGGGGAAGCAAACTACCCCAAGTCACACAGCCAGCCAGTGACAGAGGAGAGAACAGACACCAGGACCCTGAGTCCCAGTCCAGAGCCCACGGCCTGGTGCAGGCTGGCGAGGCAGTGGGCATTCCAGCCTAGCTCTTGTGCGCTCCCAGTACAGAGAGGGGGATGGGAGGGCCTCCAACCTTCTAATCCTGCCCCGCGCTGCAAATCCGGTGAGTAAGGGAGGCGGGGTAGGGGACATAACTGAAATTCCGAGCTAAGGATGAGCCTTCTTGAGTCCGGCCCCATCTCCCCTCTGGAAGCAGAGCTTCATGGGGCGTTTCAGTCCCGTGCCTTCCTGTAAAGCTGAATATAAATGGGACTGCTATCAGATCATCATCCCCAGGGGACCTTGGACAAGTTACTTTACCTCTCTATGCCTCAGTTTCCCCATCTGTCAAATGGGGACAAGGAAAGAACCTGGGGTTATAGGGAGGGTTATAAAAGATAATCAACCCACCAGGATGGCTGTAATCACGGAAAAGGACAAGTGTCAGCGAGGACGTGAGACAAAGGAGCCTCGTGCACTGCTGGTGGGAGTGCAAAACGCTTGAGCCACTGTGAAAATAGTTTGACGGTTCCTCAAAAAGGTGAGCACAGAACTACCACATGACTCCGAAGCCCACTCCTAGGTGCCCACCCAAGAGAACTGAAAACAGGGACTCCAACAAGTACCTGTGCACACATGCTCACAGCAGCCACAACAGCCAGACGGTCGAGACAGCCCGAATATCCATTAGCAGATCAATGGATACACGGATTGGAACGTCAGTCAGACATAAAAAGGAACACAGTGTTGACACATGCTAAAACATGGAGGAACTTCAAAACCATTACGCCAGGTGAAATACGCCAGACACCAAAGGTCACAGATTGCAGGGTTCCATTCACATGAAATGTCCAGAACAGATACGTCCACAGAGACAGGAAGCAGAGTAGTGGCTGCAGGGGCCGGGAGAGGAGCTTAACAGGTGAGGGGTCATACTTGGGAGTGACAGAAATGTTTGGGAGCTAGACAGAGGTGCTGGCTGCACAACACTGTGAATGTACCAAATGCCACTGAGTTGTTCACTGTAAAGTGGTGAATTGTACCTTATGTGAATTTCACCTTGAAAAATCATCTTTTTTAATCTTGAGAAAGAACATTTTAGACAAATATCAGGTAAGTCTGCTAATTTAAATCAAATTAAAAGTAAAATGCCAACTACATTTAAAAAAATGTTGGAAGCAGAGTATTTAGCACAGTCCCTGGCACATGGTAAAAACAGTAGGTTTTCTCATTAGCTGTCTAGGCCTCAGCTTCCCCATCTGTCAAACGGGGCATTTAACTAGATAATCTCCAAGACTCTTTCCAACCCTGAAAGGGTTTGGCTTATGGGAGGAAGTCCTTAACGAGGTCCACCAGGCCCCGAGCAGACACCCTGCCACCCTCGTCTTGCTCACCCCACATGCCCAGCCTCATGGCTTCCCCAGACTCCTCAGGCCCGCTCCCCTCCCACTGCCAGGCCTTGTCTCATGCCACCCCTCTGCCTAGAACACTCCTCCCTCTCCTCTGTAAGGCCTACCCATCCCTCAACTCCATCGTCTCTTGCCCATCCTCGTGCTCCTGGCACTGTGCCCCTTCCCTCTGACTGAATGACAACGTTCATTTAGTTGTGGGAGGATTTGGGGACACCAGGCAGGAGCTCTCTCTCTCCTCCTGGTCTCTACGGGCCCAACACAGAGCCTGGCTCGTTGGGGACCAGATGAATCAGTTCATTCAGTGGGTCCCCATTCCCACTAGTGTCACCCCGGTAGGCAGGGGGAACGCAGGCCATGAGGTCAAGCCAGGTTCCCCTCTAGAGGCGCTGTTCCCACCCAGCCCCCTCACCCCACTCTAGAACAGAGCGCCCAAAAGTCACCTGCCTGCCTCCACCCCCGGGGTAAAAATAACCTTGTCTGAAATCTGACACTTGCCCTCCGCTGGGGCATCAGGAGAGCTGCCCCTGACCCACTGAGGAGCCTGCCAGGGGCCAGAGGGGGTGGGGAGGCATTTCCTGAGTGCTTTCCCATAATGTCCCATCTGACCCATGGCATGTATTTGAGGTCTTGTCACTGGCAAGGTACACAGGGCACCTGAGGCCAGAGACAGCCCACGTCCTATCCAAGGTCCCCCTGCTCTGAACCACAGAGCTGGTCTGAAGCACAGGCTTCCTGCCTCCGTCCACACTGCAGCCCTCTCACCTACCATAAGAGTGATTACAACTGACTGCCAGGAGGTGTGGAGCAACTGAGGCACAGGGGCTTTCTGTCCAAGGTCTTAAGCGAAAGGGCCTAGAGTCAGACAGACCTTGGGTAAGTTATGGGGAAGCTGAGGACAAACACCCCCACCCCATCTCCGTCCACGAGCAGTATGAGGATTAAAGGAGATCCCAAAACTGGCTCCCGGCCAACTGTGAAGGGCTGTGCACATGTGAGGGAGCCTCGCTTCAAGGGAGCAGTTGGCTGGACGGGGACCTGTCTTTCCTAAACCACCAGACTCCAGTGGCCTTGGTTTCCCCCTGTTGGGAGGTGGAAATGTGGAGAAGGGAGGCGGTGCGGGACAGTGGGTTCTGGCTTCAGGTGGGCTGAGTGGGGACCCAGACCTACCCCCAGAAGCGCAGGGCCTTGGGCGACTTGCTTCCCCCCTCGCGGTCACCCACGGTTCAGCAACAGCTGAGCACCCCCCATGGACCGTTTCCTCCTCTGCAACGTGAGACTAGTAAGCACTTGGCAGAGTGGTCCTGAAAAGCACAGGAGGGAGCCGCGGGAGGTGCTCTGTAAACCGCAGTGGGTCGGCCCTCCTTCCGCCCCAGCGAGAGTCTGAGCAGGGCTTGCCAGCGACAAGCCTGAGCGGGCCACGCCCTCGCAGAGCCAAGGTCTAGGTGGGAAGACAGACCTGAGAGAGGGGCTACAGGAGATGCTGTTACACCAGCAGAGGCCGGGCCAGTGGGAGCAGGTGCGAACCTGCAGGAAGAGGACTGGCTGTGTGGGCCGGGGGCTTCAGTCACCCTCAGCTGACACCCCCTCCCACCTGTCCGTACTGTTTGGGTGCTGTCCCTGCCGGCCCCCCAGAACCAACGACCGATGTGAGAGGAGCAAGTGTTTTAATGTCTCTGGCCTCAGCTTCCTCGTTCATAAGACCGGAAGGGTGGGCTGCAGGGAGATTGAGAGGAACCGTTCTCCCTCGCTTAAGGATTTAACGTGTGCCAGGCACTGTGTGGAGTATTTTCTACACATTCTCTCTTTCAAACTCTTTCAATCAACAGCCCTAATAGGTGAACGTTGTTATTAGTCCTATTTTACAGACGGGAAACAGAGGCTCTGAGAGGGTGAGTAACTTGCACATTCACACACGCATAATCGCACAGCCAGTGAAGGGCAGGGTTGGGACTTGAACCAAGTCTGTTTAACTCAAAGGCTGAGGCTGCTCGGCCACTTTGCTGTCACTGCCTCCCTCGTCTGATGCGCAGGAGGTTACCGCTGTCTCCCAGGCATCTGTTCAGGCACAGGCCCCCCTCACCACATGCCAGGCTGGGACCCACAGGGAAGCTCCCCTCCCTGGCTGGCCTCACGTCCTCTGCCAGAAACAGTACCTCCTCCCAGCATACTCCAGGGCCAGGGCACTTGTCCTACTGGGTGCTCAAAGCCCAGAATACTGGGAGGCGGCAAGGTGGCCGCCCCCAGTAAGGAAGCTACAAGCTCTCTGGTCTGAACACCGTACTTTGTAAATCCTTAGCTCTCACGCATACAAAGAAACCTCAAAATCAGCTAGATATGCCCCTCTCAGGTGCTGGAATCTCAGCCACCACACTCCCTTCAGCGACTGTCCATCATGAGCTTGCTTGCTGCCAGAGACAGGTGGCTCACTCCCTTCTGATATAGATCCTTGCACTGAGGAGCAGGGCTGCTTGTCAGTCCTTCCATTTACCATCCCACCTACGCCAGCTGACAGCTGCCTCCCTGTGGCCTCCTCCCTTGGGGCTGTTTGCCACCCCCCACCCCCTCCTCCAGCAGACCCCATAAAGAGGCAGGAGGGATCTGACACAGGCAGTCTGCCCTCAAGTGCAATTCACCCCACTATATGGCCCCTCAAGGGAGCCCCTCTGATAGCATCTAGCCCGGAACCCACCTTCACAGGCAGCACCCCCATGTGCTGGAGCTCCTGGCAGTGGGGTGGGCTCTTCAGGAAGTATGAAGAACAGGCCCAGCCTCTCTCCTCATCATGTCCTCCCTGCCAGACAGCCAGGGCCGCTGCCTGACGCTGCCTCTGGGTCACCATGGCAACGGGCACCAGGCAAGGGGCCAGGCCTGGCCATCCTGCCAGCAACCCCGTTTACCTTGGAGCTGGGCACACCAGCTGTAGGCTTCACCAGTCCCCTCCAGGAGGGCAAGGGAAGAGGGAGAGAGAACGAGAAGAGGGAAGGGGGGAGGAGAGAGGTTACAGAGAGGGGGAGAGAAGAAAAAGAGAGGGAGGGAAAAGACAGAGAGACTAGAAAAACCATGAGGTCAAAGAATGGAGGCTGGTAGAACAGAGCAAGAAGAGAGGACACACTCTCTCCCTCTCTCTCTCTCTCTCTCTCTCTCTCTCTCAGCAGAGAGAGGAATGAGGCAGGAAAGGGCCCCCTCCAGGCTCCCGGCTGCACACATTCCTCAGGCCAGAGTCCTCTCAGCCTGGGGATCCTGGCCGCAGCAGGGACTTCCTGCCCCAGGAAGCTGGCAGCCCGGGGGCCCCTTTGAGGCCCCAGCTGCTTCTCCAGCCCCTGCAGGCCCCTCCTGCTGAGGATGGTGCCCTGCCCTCGCAAGCAGCTAGGGCCCCTTCCCTCAGCCCCTCAGGCAGCCCCTCCTTTCTTGTCCCCTGCACCCCCCGGCCCCAGACGCCCCAGTTCTCCTGCTGCCCAGGCCCGCAGACCTCTCGTCTTCTTTCCCACCTCACCCAGCTTCCCCTCGCACAGCACACGGACTTTTTCTCTCCTAAAGTGTTGAAGGAACCTTTCCCAAGCCAGGAGAGAGGTGAGAGCAGGAATTGTGGCTCCATCCACGGAACACATTCCCTCACACTGCACGTGAAGTGGACAGGCCTCAGAACGAGGCCTAGTGAGGGGACACCAACTCTAGAGGGGCTGCGTCCAAGGTCCCAAGTTGCCAGGTCTAAGGGTGAGACCCAGAGCTGGGCCCGGCCTGGTCTGGCAGGGGCTGCTGAGCTGAGCAGGTGCACCAGCAGCTCCCCGCCCCAGCACTCACCACGCTCTGGTGCTGCCCTCAGCCTCAAGCTCTCTGTGCAGGATCCCCGTCCTAATCGGCACAGCCCACCTCCGCATGCCCCACACTGCCTCGGAGGAACCAGAGTCCACCTTGAGGAAGGTTTGTCAAAGAAATGATAAGCAGAGCAGAGAGAGAAAAAGGGGAAAAAACAGGAAGGCACAAGGGCTGGCAGGAAGGTGGCAACAAGGCCCAGTGGAAACAGGCTGCACTGGAATCCTGGCCCCACCTCTATCTCCCTGGATAACTTTAAGCCATTTACTTAAGCCTCACTTTCCACATCTGTAAAATGGGAATAACAATGTCATAGAGGGGATCCAATGAGATTCTATGTACAAGGTGCTTAGAACAAGATTTGACCCATTAAAAGTGCTCGAAAAGTGTCAGCTCTTCATCTTGTTAAAAGCGAGGCATTGTTGAACAACACAGGAAATCATCCTTGCCAGAAGGGCCTGCACAGGTCCCTGGGGGTAATCGATGTCTGCCATGACGGGCCAGGCGGCCTTTGCAGAGCCCACGCCAAGCTTGAGGACGAAGACCCCCATTCAGGTGGACAGAGAGCTGCAGAGAAGCTCCCAGCAGCGGCAGGGGTCAGACCGGCCCCGTTTTAGCCTGTTCTGTGACCAGCACTGGGGAACATGCAATCTGCCTCCCAGCAGGGCTCCAGATCCACCACGAATCAAGATGCTGAACAGGACGGAGTCTGTGGCGCTCCATGGAGCCCCCTCACAGATGTCCACACACAATCTAAGAAGATTCGACAAGCGCTGGGCCCCTGAAAGGCTGAAGACCCCTCACAAAGGAAAGGGCTTCTTGGAATAGAAGGTGGCGATCACTGGCAATCAGCTCGGGTTCACTGGGGACAAGGCATTCCAGGCACAAGGGACGCATCAGTGGGGCAGGAATAGACATATTTTGCATGTTTTGCATCTGCACAGACCCAGAACATTGTGAGCGCTCAGTGAACGGGTGTCTAATGGAACCTGGGAGGTGTCTCCAGCAGGGTATCACGTTTGTCTGCTCTGTTCAACGTTTAATCAAACGGCGTGAATGAAGACACGTGTGGTCACAGGAGGCCACCTGAAACACTGTAACATGTAAACATACAAGCAAGCAGATGAAAATCAACCAGATTCACAGGATCCGCCTGCATTCAAGTTTCTGTAGCTGTTGCTCTGCTTTAAGTTGTCTGTACGCTGGGGCGGCTCCAGCCTAACGCTTGTTTATGCAAAAACAGCCTCATGATTTCAGCTGTCCACAAGCTCAACAGTGACAACTTCTCTGTAACCCAACGGGCACCCTGCGGCTGCTCAGGGCTCCTGCTGTGAGAAGGGGCGGGCGTGTTTAGGGCGGGGACGATTCAGTGGCAGGGAGGAGAAAGCCTCCAGTTGGGGTATGGCAGGCAGTGTGAGGCCCAGCCCTGAGAGCTGGAACAGAGGGGAGAGGGAGTGGCACGGGATGGACACCACACCAGGGGGTCAGTGAGGGGGTCAGTGTGCATGTGGCCTGGGTGACAGGCTTCCGGCAGCAAATCCGAGGGCTGCCTGGGTCCAAGGACAGGAAGCATCCTATTAAGGCGTGAAAACAAGACCAGACAGAGCAGACAAGGTTAGAATGAGGCCAGTTCTGGCTAGGGATCAACATCAATCTTTTTTAAAACTCCCATTCATTCCTTTAAGGTGCTGGGAAGCCAGAACTGAATCAGACACAGACTCTTGGGGCTGGCCTCGTAGCCAAGTGGTTAAGTTCATGCGCTCCACTTCGGTGGCCCGGGGTTTCACCGGTTCAAATCCTGGGCGCGGACATGGCACCGCTCATCAGGCCATGCTAAGGTGGCATCCCACATGCCACAACCAGAAGAACCCGCAATTAGAATATACAACTATGTACGGGGCAGATTTGGGGAGAAGAAGAAAAAAAAAAGAAAAGATTGGCAACAGATGTTACCTCAGGTGCCAATCTTAAAAACAAGCAAACAAACAAAAAGACACAGACTGTTCTCTGACAATGAACAAAGGAACGAGCCCCTTTCAGAGAGTGAAAGAGCTAGAGGAAGGAAGGAACAGCAGACTGAGAAAGAGAGAAGGTGGGGGCGGGGAGGAGCCGATTCAGGTTGGGCAATCAAGGAGGCTTCAAGGCCAAGATCTGAGTCAATGACAAGAAGGAGCAATTGTGCAAGACTTGGGGGTGCAGGGTTCCAGGCAGGGAACAGAGCCTGCAAAGATCCCAAGGAGGGACAGGGACAAGCTTGGCTGCCAGAGGGAAAGCAGGGCAGCCAGGTGGCCAGCGCAGCGTGAGGGAGGGGCACGCCACGGTAGGAAATGCAGTCAGGGAACAGACAGGGCCCACGTCACCCAAGGCCCTAGAAAGTCCCAGTAGAGTTTGGATTTTTCTCCAGTGTGATGGGAAGAACTGGAGGCCATAAGTGGGGAGGCAGGTGACTTGCCCTACATTTTAAGATCACCACGCTGCTGGGTGGGGTGGGGTTCAGGGTGAGAAGAGGCAGGGAGACTCCTCCACGGGCCCCTGCAGGCCGAGGAGAGATGATGGAGCTTGGGCTGCACTAGTAACAATGCAGGCACAGACGATGGACCAGGGACCATCTGGGAGGTGGAGCCGGCGCGACTTGCTCACAGATTCCATGTGTGAGAGTGAGAGAAAGTGAGGATGCAGGCTGGACCCAGGCTGTGGACACACGGCTGGTGGATGGTGGTGTTGGTGATCCAGTTAGGGGAGACCAGGGGAGAAAGGGGCGGAATTAAGAATTTTTGAGATCCGGTATGGTGACGGATAAAAACTGGACTGTTGGTGGTGAACACAATGCAGTCTGTACAGAAACTGAAACATAGTGATGTACACCTGAAATTTACACAATGTTATGAGCCAATATGACCTCAATAAAATAATTTTTTTTTTGAGGAAGATTAGCCCTGAACTAACATCTGCTGCCAATCCTCCTCTTTTTGCTGAGGAAGACTGGTCCTGAGCTAACATCCCTGCCCATCTTCCTCTAATTTATATGTGGGATGCCTACCACAGCATGGCTTTTGCCAAGCAGTGTCATGTCCACACCCGGGATCCGAACTGGCGAACCCCGGGCCACCGAAGCAGAATGTGCGAACTTATCCACTGCGCCACTGGGCCAGCCCCTAAAATAATTTTTTTTTAAAAGAATTTTTGAGATCCTATTAAACTCTTAAAGAGAGATGTCAAGGAGGCAATTGAATGCTCAAGTTTACAGCTCACTGGAGAAGAGGCTGCACCAGGAGGAATTTTAAGATCCACAGAATGCTGCGACCTTGTGGTCAAAGAGGCTGCCGATTCTTTGCTCTTCTTCCCTATGACAGGCCAAGTCTAATCCCCTCTCCTTGAATCTGGGTCACCCGGAGTAACATTTCAACTGGTATCTTCTGAGACTAGGTCACGAGAAGCCTGGCAGCTCCTACCCAGGCCTCTTGGAACTCACGCTGTGGTGGAAGCAGCTGCCAGGTGGGAAGTCTGACCAGGCGGAGACCATCGTATGGAAAAGGCTCGGCATGACAGCACCAGCTAGGCCCAACCTGCCAGCCATTCCTGCCAATGGCCCAGATACCAGTGAAGCCTTCTTGGATGCCCTAGTCCAGCCCATCCGCCAGCTGGGTACCACCAAGTAACTTCCATCGACACCACATAGAGCAGAAGAGTCACTTAGCCAAGCCCTGCCTAAGTTCCAGACCCACAAAATCTCAAGATATAATAAAATGGTTCTTGTTTGAAGCCACTAAGTTTGGGGGTAGGTTGTCACTCAGCCACAGTAACTAGAACAGACCTCATCCAAGGAGAGAGTGAAGACAGAACTATTGAGAGGCCGGGTGGGAAGGAGGAGCCTGCAAAGGAGCCCGAGAAGGAGCTCGGGCAGGTGAGGTGGACGGAGCACCAGGAGGGGGCGGATCTCCAGGAGGAGGGGCACCTGCTCGTCCAGGGGTGCTGAGCGGTCGAGGAAGATGGGGAGCGAAGCAAGGAGGAACGGGAGGGAGGAGTCCAGTTAGACTGATGCAGGGAAAGGATGAGAGGTAAGACGTGGAAGCAGGACCGCAGAAAACTCTCCCAGAGATTGTTGTGGGAAAGGGGAGCAAAGAAACGGGGAACAGGTGGAAGGGGACATGGGGACAGGGGACGGGTTTTGTTCACCTAGAGGCCGGGAGAGATTAGAGATCATCTGTGTGCTAATGGAACCAGTAGGAGAGGGGTCCCCCTGAGCCAGTGAGCTGCCTACAGGACAGCGGCCACCCAAGAACGGACCTCAAAGACGCTCAAAGAGCCCTTTCTAGAAACCTATGGCTCAACAACAACAAACACACACATAGATACAGAGATGAGATTGGTGGTTACCAGAGGGGAAAGCGGGAGGGAGGAGAGTGAAGGGGGTGACTAGACAC